AGTGAGTGCTATGAGTAATTAAATAATTACTTTTAAAAAGCAAAAACCTTGTTCAAGTCCTATTCCTCCTGAATTCTTAATGAGTGACATTTAAAAAAATAAATTATTGGCTGGGAATCTCATGATACTGCTTTGCAAGCTTCCTCAGAAAGTTTTGGAAATGATTTAAATCCAATCATTAACGTTCATAGTATCCCTCTAATCCTAAATATCGTATGGAAGACATCAGAGAGTCATTGACACTGAGTATTCTCTGTGTTGCATGACCTCAGGACAACATGCCAGTGTCTTGAAACATGCCTCAGTTACAGAGTGCAAATGGGATCAAGCCATGTTTTAATCATGTTCCCAAGTTGTGCTAGAGACCCAAGCTCTGCAAGGCTGCCAACTGGGAAAAAACCAAAACCACCAACATGGAAACATGCTTTGGCTTCCCAGGCACACTGGGCTGTAGAGGAATGCTGGCACCAAATGCTCCAACAGGGCCCTATAAGGCAGATTTTAGTAATAAGCATGTAGGAAGTTATAGGTTAATATAGGCAATGAGCAAAATACATGTTCTGAGACATGGAAACACAAATCCTACACAGCTAACCCCCAGAATAAAATTTGAAAATGCCAAACCCCATGCTTTCTTTATAATACGGCCATTTATTAAAAGCAAGGAAAAAACAACCCCACATTCAATCCTTGATCCTTGCATACAAGTCCTCAAAGACAGAAGGTCTGCGTGCACTGGGGGCCTGACAATTTGCAAGTTTATAATTCTACTCAGAATTTTCAAATACAGGAAGTGGGGAGTCTGTATCTCCTTAATCTCATAGAATCACAGAAGTATAGCCAAGTCAAAAATTATACCTTGCTCCAGGCCACATTTTCCTTTCTATCCATTTACCATTTCCTTGATGTTATATAGCTTGTAGACATGGTGTTATTTCTTTTTAATTCATATGCAAGCCTTCTATAATCCCCTGCCTGACTCTTATTTTGAATATACTCTCATGTAACACTCTAACAGTCATGAAAAGCCCTGCAACACATACACTTGGTATTCCTCAGAGATGAAAACCAGCCTTACTAAATAAAATTCAGCTATAAGCTGCTTAGTCAGAATTCTTTCTCAGAAACCACTGTGTATTCCTTAAAAAACAGCATGACTGTTAAGAAACAACTGATGTCATACTTCATATGAAACTCCTGCTCCCCAAACCTATGGGTTTTGCACATGGGATCCTATGACATTACATCCTCTCAATTGTTCTCTATAATATTTAATTCATGTATCAAATGAAATGCTCTCTCTAAAGTCAGTCTAAAGGGAACTGTGCCTTCTATTAAAACCATGGTTTATAAATTTCATGTTCAGGTAAAACAATTTTGCAGGAAATCAAACCCAGAGTCCAAAAACTGACAATATGACACATGTCTAAAGCAAAAAGAATTGTATTGAGATGCTTGGAGAGATTTTCCCCATTCAGTTCTCAAAACTAAATTGCCAGAGGAGCTGCAGACTGAAGCAAGGCTCTCCAGGACTGCACCCATCCATAACCTGGCTTTCTTGGCACGTCACTACCGCAGCAGGCATTCAGAGAGCTCAGGGGACACTGCACTTTGCTCGGCCTACTTAGCAGAGACAAAAACCACATCTGAGACTCCCAAAGAATACAAACACTTTATGACTAAACCAACCTCTTCCTTTGCTGCTCCTCATCCTAGCAGCTCTGTTCCTCCAAGTGGAAATTGAGAAACAGGCTGGTATTGCTACAGTATGTGTATTATTAAAGCTACTCCTCCACAGCAATGAGGAAAAGGAGGTCGGATTGCTTTTTCTGTCATTGTAACTACTGTCACATTAAGCTTCAGATATGTTCTGAATAAAGCCTTTAGTAAAGGCAGAATGTCACATTATTCCCTCTTGCTTAAGCTCTGAATATCAAAAATTATTGCTAGGTTGGCTGCAAAATGTGGGCACTCGTGAGGCCTCTCAGCCAGGTGCTGAAGACCAGCATATGCCATATCTAGGTTGCTCCTACCTCCTACAAGTAACTCCTTTGAGCTTTAATTCAGATACAACATCTCCCCTGCTTTCCCTCTCCCACGTTTTTTGGCCCCACATTTAGCTTTTTCTGGCATTTTGATTGCTCCTTATTAACAAAAATGAGCAAGAACTGAACAGTCATAAAACAGCATGACTAATGTTAATGCTTTTTTTCTAAAAAAGAAGAAAATGTCCATACAATTTTACAGTAGATTATACAAATTCAGTTAACAGCAGCTCTGCAGATCCCTGTTAATGCTGTGAAATGCTTCATAGCTGTAAAGAGTTTCCCACATATTCCTTCCCTTTGAAGTCCTGGAGAAATGCTCATATTTTATGGAAACAAGCATTAATCTGCATGAAAGCTGCCAATGGTTCAAGGGACATCAGCCAAGGAATGCCAGAACGAGTTAGACTGGCCATTCTCAAACTGCAGTCCATACCACGCTTGCTTGCTGGTGCTCTGCCTGCTCGTTGGCTCATCATTTGTGCTATTGTTCCCTTAGTATCTCTCTTAAAAGCTATGCTAGAAATAGGCTAAATAAAATATGTGTACATTTAATAAATTTCTTAAGAGTTGACACAGTAAACGATATTAAATGCAGAAAGATTCCCAAACCTGCTTGTCCATCTGTCTTCAATCACTACACATGGATGCTCTGCACATGAGAAATGGACTATGCAGTCTCAAATGGGAAGAGCCTATTAAGATTACTGTGTTCTAGTGTCTGCAAAAATCTATCAGTGTTTAGATTCACCAGTTCAGAGAGTAAAGTCCTCCTGAACACAGGAAGCACTGTGCTAGAATGCTTCTTTAGATAAGGAGCCCCTTCTGGATTGTAAAGCACATGAATGTAAAAACAGGAATGTGTAAGCATCAAGTTCGAGTACCAAACCAAATGGGGAAATTCAAATTAACAGCTTTCATTCATAAAGACAAGAATGTAGAAGCATCAGGTAGCAATAACAATCAATACAATCCAGGAAATTCTAAAGGAAGAAAAGATTTAATTTTATACAGAATGGATTAAGAGCTGCAATGAGTTGACCCTTTTTCAGTCCTTCCCTTGAGGTGTGTCCCAAAATCCTCCCTGTAGGTCACAGAAAAAGTTGTATAAGAAGCTGTGTAATGAAATGGGACAGTGGATTTGTGACAGTTCCCATGCTTTTCCCCTTCTTGCCCCACCCAGCTGAACTCTTTCTATCTCATCTTCTTACATAACTTTAACTCACTTTATTCTGCTTAGTCAATACTTTCTTCAATCATTTCTCTCCTGTTTTCAGAAACAGTTTTGGTGAAGTTTTTTATGTCTTGGTTGGTTTTTTGTTGGGTGGGTTTATTTGTGTAAGCGCACACACATTTAACTTGATTGAGAACTCACTTCAAAAGCTTCCTTTCAACTATTTATGAGCATTTAAATAGCTACATAGGAACAAGTCAATAACTTGTCTACTATGCTTCCTGTTTCAAACAATAGCAAACTTTGGGTATTTTAGGATGCAAACGTCCATTTCCTTCTATGTTTCTATCTCCTTCAGTGTGTGCATGCATGTATCTATCTGAATCTATCTATAGCTACTCCCTGTGAGAATTCTGTCTTTATATATACCGAAATAAAATACTTAGGCTAACTTCCTGACATGTAAATATAACAACAGCTAGAGATAACACTTCAATTTCAAGTTTAATAACAGTTAAAAAATTAATTTCCCATGGTCTAGGTGTTTAATTGTTCAGATTATATCAGTTGCTTACATTGCCTTTATCCTGCACTTTTTCAACCTCATTTTTATGGTTGTTGTGCAAGGCTGCAAGTATGGTACTCTACTTCTGCAGCTGAAAATTGGTTTTTTTTTTTTAATTTTGAAGGATAGGCTACGAGACAATCAGCCTGAAAGGGTTACTTGTATCTTTCAGGGAACATCTCTGAGACAGAAAATTTACCCAGAATGATAGGTAAAATCAAATATATGAATATAAGACCCCATTTATTTTTTTTTGTCTAGACCAAGAAATAGGTGAAGTCTGGTTATGTGGTTCCTCTTCCATGTGCTTTGAGCACTGTCTTCATAAGATAAGATATTACCTTCATAAGATATTTCCAGCATGTTAGTTGTCTGGAATTAGCAATCTAAGCTAGATCTCCTCCACCACAAACTCACTCCTCCTCCACCAAGCATCTTCAGATGTAAAAATCACAGTTGGAAATCAGAAAGAAATCATTCCCCAGGGGCATGTATATTCACAGTGAAACAGCAGCCTTTTTCTGTGTCATTTCTAGCCATCATCTAGTTACAGACCCTGTTGTTTAACACCCATCTTCTGGTTGCAACTCTGATTAACCAAAATGTCTGAAGTATTCAAACTATTACCCTTTTTTCAGGGCTCATTACCAAATATAACAGTAACTCAGATTTAAAGAGAAAGAGGCAGACTTTGAAAGCTCTAAAGCCCTCACAGCAACTAAAGCCTCATTTTCTCAAATCCATGTTTTTTCTTCAGTCTTTTTCTTGTGCTTTTTTCCTGCAAGCATCAGCAGGGATTTGAGAAACCTCTGGAAGGAAAAGGAGCTGGAGAATTTTGTTCATCTAGGGTGTTGGTTCTCTATTTATCTCTTCCTCAGTTATGTCCACTCTCCATTTGAAAAGATACCACCCCAGTGGCTTAAAACCACTAAAACTTATCACTGTATTCTTTGCTTGCTTGGCCAACCTTTTTATTACTTCTATGTATCTCCTGCTACATTTGTCCCATTCACCTCTGCCTTTGTTATGCTTTCCCAAGGTACCTTATCTTCCCATGATTAACACAAACGTAAAAATGCTTCCTGTGCACATACATTAGTCTCTTTTTTCAGAGTAACTGGTTTCTGTCAAAGTTAAAAGTTATCTATTTTCAACAAATCAGACTTTTAAAGTGGTTTTAAAGTAAACATTTATAGAGCATACTGTGCTTTCTTACCTGAACAGAGTTGTTCAACTTTTGTGTAGTTTAAAGCTAATATATCATTAACCCATGCAATGATGTCATGTCTGCTCATAGTCTCCTGGGTTATAGAGGTAGAGTACACGTTGACCGCCATTCCCCAACTAGGAAAAAAAGAGAGACAAAAAAGATTTTTGACATTTTGGTACTTGTTTTCTAAATACAACGAATATATGCTTCCAGTTCAAAAGAGGGAAAGAAAACTCAAAATCCTCTCTTTGTTTATTGAGAAAGGAGGGGTGATTTTTATTCTTTGATGATAAGAAACCTCCTCAATGTCCTCTTGGAACCTATGAACGTATTTCTCTGGCTGTCACTGTGAACTTAAAGAACATACAAACCTATGGTACTTTGCTTCATGCCAACAAAGTAGAAAAAAACCCAGACTCAGACCAAAAGATGCACAGACAGGATCAGAGACCCAAGATTTTGTCACATTGTGCTGCATCAATACAGTGATGCAACATCTGCCAGATTTTTGCCACTGCAGGATGATCAGGCTTCCTAAACCAACACTTAATTTTAGGTAACTTCTAAATGATGAAGTAGCTGTACTATTACTGATTTCTTACTGGGACAGGGCCCTTTTAGATCATTAATTCAGTTCCTAACAGTCACAGAGTGAATATCAAATAATCTCTGTTATCAGCGCACCAACATCTATCTTGAAAGCAACTGAGATTTGCACCCTCAGCTGTGTGGTTGGAAAACTGCCTTGGAGCCTGATTCTTCTCAAACATTAGGAACATTTCCTCTCAGCTTAAACCCATTTGTTCTTCTGCCAACATTATCCTCCAGCCCTAATTGCTTTTTCTTCCCCAGAGTGGATTTCCTAATGCTTTAGAGACAGCACTCAGTGTCTGTCCCAAAGCCCAGGTAGTCTAGATGAAACAAATCAATGTGAGTCTCTTATATCAAGTAAGACTTTGACTGACTGGCCATGCCAGCAGTACTCCTCAAACAGACAGTTTCAAGCAGTATTCAGATAACATTTCACTGAGACCTTGGTAAATGGCACTCTGTGCTTGAAGTTTTCACAGCTACATCCCCTTACATAGATTCTTCTAGTTAGCAAAGGTCCCTCCCTGGAAGCTGGCAATTCATAGTAGCTTTTATCATCTTCCCAGGTACACAGACCAGAAACACATACTACTGAACTTTGCTCCCTGTTAACTTACCCTAGTCACATCTTTCTGTTGCAAGATGTTGCAAAGAGAAAACATGAGCACACTCAAGTTTATCTCATCAGCAGTGTCAAAGAGCAGAATCAAGTTGATGGAGAGAGTAAGTAATGTTCCCGTGAGTAACGGACTGCAGAAAATCCACCAGAAGCAATCCAGGTGTGAAGTGTCTCAGAAATGACCAAAAAGTCAAAGTTGAATGATTATTCTTGGTTTGCTGAGGACTGCACACCTTTGTTTCTCGTGGCAATCTGCAGCTAACACTTATCTGTCTAGCTCTGTTGCCAGTCCTTCCATCTCAGCTTTGGACCTCAACTTTCTCAGTCAATGCAAGAGAGCAGGAGAGCAGGATGTCCTCTGTAGGATCCCAGGTCTGCATGGACTATTTTCATTGAGAATTTGCAGTGATGTAACCCTCTGAAGCCTGATAGACAATTCTATAAGGAGAAGACTGCAGATTAACTCCACCCATAGCTATGTGTGCTAACTAGGTGGGGCAACCGTAAAATGTGAAATGGGAAAAACCTACCAGCACAAAACTTGACTTGGTAACATGTAAGTGTATTAGTACATAACACAGAGAATAAATTTAAATACAAGATTACAAAGTTCATAATACAGGTAACTTTTTTTCTAGGAAACAAATCTCACAAACAGAAAGTTGTTCAAGTTGTTCCCATCTACTGACATTAAGACGCAAGGCATAAAATCCTCAAATTTGCTTTATAAGGAATTAAAGAAAAAAGAGAGTGAGAGAGAAAATAGGGTTGAAGAATTCATGCTCCAATAGTCAGGCATCCACTGCCTGGGTGCAGTGTTCATTCAGAACCAGGCTGCCTGCCTATCCACTGTGTACAGGCAGCTCTGGAGCACGGAGGGAATCAGCCTGTGCTCAGCCTGCTCCGTTCTTCCCGCGGGCTCACATGCAGCACAGCCAGCTGTGTGAACACAGCCCTGTATTCACTGGAAGAGTCAGCAAAGGTCGCTTTCTTGGCATGCACTAAGTGCTTGGACTGAATCGAGTGCTAGGAACAAAGTTTTAGAAACAGGGAGTGCCCTTTCACTCTTAAAACTACACCATAATGGCTAACCATAAAAGCTTAGCTTCAACATCAGGGTGGAAGGCACTGAGCAGGCAAACAACCCCTTTGATACTAATGGCATCTGAAGTTTGAAACACATGGGTTTTATTTTATTATTTTTAGCCTTTTTATATAGATAAAAAACTAACAGAAAGATAGTACCACTGTCACCATTAAACTAACATGTTAAATATTGTATGTAAGATCAGTTGAAATAACAGTTTAATAATGAATTTAATATTCACTTAGAATTATTAGTGAGCCTAATAATAAACTGACACTTCAATACAGAGGAGTCCACTGAATTCCACAGCAACTAAAGATATTTAGATGAGAACATCTGAAATAAAGCTACTCTGATCTGTAATTGCCACTACTTCAAGAACATTTTACTTGGCCTCTGAGACCATGCAGAGCTCAGAAAAACCATCATCTACCACCAGTGAAAAGGGAAAGTTCACTTTGTTAAAAAGATCAAGAAAATACACACACACAGAGAAAGGAAGTAGAACTTCCTTCATCACCTTTTTCCACAAAGAACTGCAAAGAGAAATACCCATCCTTCTGCAACCCACAGGGGAGCAAACAACATCCTCTGCTGCATTGCACGGGGTGGGGAATTCTACTGCAGGAAACTCTGAGTAAATGAATAACCTTGAGTTTTACAATGCTACCCTGAAGGATACCTGTAATACAACTTATGCTACATCTGTGAATTAATTATTATAGTCTAAGGGTCAAACAGAAGTTCAGACTATTTACTAGAGACGAGTTCAAGCGATTAGAGACAAGAGCTTCAGATTTGTACACAAGCATGCACAATGGTGTATGAGTACAGTTGTAAGCAAAGGCAAAATTAATCAGAATTTTTGTTAAAACACTCAATAACATGCCACTGCCATTCATTCTTAAGTGCTTTGTTAACATATCTGTGAATATTCCACAGCTGCTTCTCTTGAAAGAGTTCACCCTCTCTTTGCATCTCTTGTTCCCCACCCTCCTACTGGTTACGTTCTAAATAAACTCAGCTGGGAAAGGTTTCCTTTACAGTAAGCATGTTCTAATTTGGTGCTCAGATATACACATATCCTGTTTGCCACACAGAGAGACCTTAAACAAAACAAAAAAGAAGGAAAAAAAAAGAACAAGCAGATGTAGGTAGTGCAGCCACCATGCTCAGCAACAGTCAAGAACCTCTGTGCTCAACATCTACAGCTGGGCTGGGGTTTTCTGCAGGACTGAGTTCCTAAAGTGCTGAAGTACTCTGAAAAATGTGATCCATCTTCAAAACATATTAATAAACATGTGTAAGCTGATGCCAGAGAACAGCTGGAAAGGTGGAGACACACAGCCCATACTCTGAACAGCCAAGTAGCTAACAACTTGATTTTATGTTGTAATACACTTCTTCTTTCCAATAACATTATTTACATTTTCAACTTGTTAGGCTTTCACTTGTTTACACTGAAGGCTCTGAATCATAAGATTGCAATGAGGCTTACACAAGCCTGAAAACCAGTGTCTACCTGGTGTCTTCAGAATTCCATAGAGGTGCCTGGTGATTCCATAGCAACTGAAAGCAGACTGGAGGTAGCACATCACACCTCCCACTTCAGGAGGAACAGGGGGCACATCAAAAACCTCAGGCTGTTACAGTGCTGCCTAAGCACAAAGAACTCTCCCTTGTTTTACTTCAAGCCCTAAGAGAGTCTTCCCATATTAGTCTAGGCCATTTCAGAAAAACACTTTACACATGCACAACTACACACCACAGACATGAGTTCAGAGGATTAGACAGATGCTGAAAATCATGTACATGCTTAAGCAGTTTCCCCAGTTAGAAATACACTGGCTTGGCATGCCTGATGGTAAACATTACACCCAAAGTCTATTAATTTTTTAAGGCATTTTATGCAGCATTGGATATTGAGATATTGGGTATTTTCCACTGCCCTTGCTACAGATAACTGCAGTTGCTACAAGGTATTATCCAGCTGTTCTTAAGGACAGTTTTGCAAGAAGTACATTTACTTTATTTTTCCAGGGATAAACTAACAGTTGTTGACAGCAGAAGCTGTATCACAACAAACCAGTAATAATGACAAGACTAGAAGCATTACAGCACTGAATCTATTTGTAGTGTAAAAGCTCACCACACTTGCCATCATCTCTGAACCTGCAAGGCCTTCACATTTCTGCAGAATAGGAAAGGCAGGAAGGGACCACTGCAGTCCAACCTCCCTGCCCAAGCAGGGCCACCTAGAGCACATTACTCAGCATTGTGTCCAGATGGTTTTTGATTATCTCCAGAGGAGGAGACTCTACAATTTCTCTGGGGAATCTGTTTCAGTGCTCACTCACCCTTACAGTAAAGAATTTCTTCCTTGTGTGCAGGTGGAACCCCATGTGTTCCAATTTCTGCCACCGCCTCTCATTTAGTACAAATAGACATATTTGTATTAAATAGTAGTGCAAAGAGACGAACAGATATTAAGTTTTTAAATGCAGTGGAAAGTCTGTGTGACAGTACAGATGCACCTTCTGGAAGCTGGCACCTGATAAGATACTGCCAATAAAACAAAAGATCTCACACCAAAAATTACTAAAGCAGGAGGTAACAGCAGAAAGGCAAAGATGAAGCTGAATGAGACTGCTGCAGCTGCTGGTGAAAAGACTTTCTAGATTAAAGCTACTGCAAAAACAAAGAAATCCCTGAAGGAAGAAACCTGCCAGATTTGGTGGATAAATCCCTATACAAGGAAAATTCATCCTTTTATACCATCCTGAAATGACAACTGATTTGCAGCTGGACCTTGCCTGTTTCTTGAACACTCCCTGCAC